TGAACAGGCTTTGCAAATCCAACTTGTTCGGCTGTGGCTAGCTCCCATGGGCTATTCCCTAGCAACCCTTCACTGACTTAGGGACCAGGTTTGCAGCAAAACATCCTGGAGCCATGAAAGCTGACAAAGTGAAGCCTTGCAATCATGAGGGCACAGGATCCCTGGATCTTGCCTTTAAAAAGCACGCTACCAGCTGTACACAGCAACTCTTGGCAAACGCGGAAAGGTGTCAGAGCCCCTCAGAATTTTGAATTAAGGCACAACCTGTCAGTGAGCGATGTGAATTTATCAAGTATGGCTCCTGCTCTAAAAGACATGGGAACTGACATGCGCCAAGAGAGCTTGATCCTGGCTTGGCAGGCTCAGCTCCCAACCTGCTGGCTGTAGACAAAGAAGGACCTTGTATGCGCCCAAGCTAAGCTCACACCAACCTTGCATCACTTCCGAGTCAAGACTGGATGAAAAGCAAATCAGGTTCAAGTCAACTAAACTTTGGTTGAATGAGTGATGATAATAAATCGATTAAACAAATCAGTAAACAACACAAACATAAATTTGCTGGGACCATGCAGGTCGGTTCCATGAATGCTGCCAAGCCTGGTCAGCCGCTTTGCTATCCCAAGCCAGTGGTTCAACCTGGTCAGACCAGATCGAAACTAGATCAAAACTGTGTGAAAGCCAGCAAAGCCAGATCAACACATCAACACTAGTGATCAAAAGACAGATCAAAAATAGATCAAAACTATGGCAAAATTAGATCAACAAATCAACGCCGCAGATCAAAGACAGATCAAAACCGGATCAAAACCAGATCAAAACCAGATCAAAACAAAATCACAAATGGCCAGTGTGTATTCAGAGCTAATTCACACAAATAAAGCATGACAATCTCTCAAGCCAGAAAGACAGTGTCTGGGCCTGGCGTCGCCAACGTATGGCAAGCGAGCCTGCCCACCAGCAGGTTAATCGTGACCATCCGTTGTTTGCTAGTTACAAAGCACAGTCACACACACAGACACAGATTGTCACACATCACAGGCAATGGCGTTTTTTCTGCTCAAAAGGGCTGCGAGTTGGGGTGAAACCAAGGGCCTTCAAGGGCATGAAATGGCATGGCTCATCATCGCCAGCCACTTCCTCCAATTCCACTTTGGGATGCTCTCATCGCATCTCATGGCATCAGCCCCTTCATGACCATCCCTTCCACCAGGAGGACCAGGCTTTGCTTCCCCACCAGCCCCATGATTCATCCTCAGAATCTTCCACCTCGCATGAAGGCCCCGCAGCCTTTCCCTGGGCCTCCTTTGGCTTCTTCTCAGACGCTGCGGAAGGTGGTGGCGCTGGCCTCTTCTTCGGGCCACCCGCGGCCTTCGAAGTCGTTCCTGTTGTTGGAGCTGGTACCGGCGGTGTCTTGACTGGCGGCGGTGGTTTCTTCTTCACAGCAGGGTGCTTTGCGCTGGCAGTCCCACGTGAAGGCCATGGAGAAGCCGGTGTCCTCCTGGGAGCAATGCCTTCTGCTTTGCTTGGTGGTGGCGGCGGCGGCTTTGGCGGTGTTGGTGGCTTCCGCCCACCTCCTGGCGCATCATCCCCTCCTCCAGTCTCACCATGTGCGTCCCAATCACGGCCAGGCGGTGGAGCTGGAGGGAGCCCACCATCTTTGGATCCGCCTTTGCTGTCCTTGCCACTCCTCGATGGCGCAAAGCGGACCCACAGCAGACACCTCAGACATTCCAAAACAAGCAACAAGTTCATCATTTGCAGAACAGAACAGAACAGAACAGAATCAGTCAGTCATGTCAAAAAATAAGTGATGTTGATCAATATTGTAATATCAATGATATCAACACAGAAAAAGACAAGTCCCAAGACAAGGGGCTTGTTCGAGTCGAACAGCTCCTTGGTGGTGCGAGCACGGTCCACTGTGTCATAGTCCACGAACCAGCATGTAACCGATTGGCCGGAACCGGCCTTGCGCACCTTCCTGGGAAGGATGCCGCTTGCACCCACCATGATTGCCTTCAAGTCGTCCTCCGTCCTGAAGAAGTCATGGCTGACTTAAGTGGAACCTAACTGCAGAATGAAAAATCTAAAATGAATCTATATGAAGTAGTGACACCATCAAATGAATATAAAATGAATCAAACTGCAGACAAGGAGCGACCACTGTGGGCAATTCCCAACCCACAGGCGATCACTCCAGCTGAGGCCATGCTTGTCTGCTGGCGGGACCAGCTCCTCTGGCTCAGCCGCCGCATCAGATACAGGAGCGTGGAGGCACAGCGGAAACCTAGGCAGACAGCCAGTCATTCATCAATCAGATTGCAGGACAAAGCAAAAGCAATCAGACAAGCAAACAGATTGCAGGAGCTGCCGTAAACTAGTCTGAACACACTGCATGCGCAATACTGGGCTTTGGACATCTTCGCTGCCACAATGTTGCGAGCAAAGTCAGTGAAAAAGGTGATCTTCCACACGCTGGCCTGTCCAGTGCCTAGGCGCGACCAAGCCAGGGGCACATAATACTGAGCTGTGACATGGCTTCTTGATCTGAAACGCAGCTCTGGCACTCCCTGGCTCCAGCAACTCCACATTCCCTTCCACCCGCGCAGCAGCAAGCAGGAAGGCTATTGTGCGCTCTTCCCTCATTTTGCACCACATGTGAAAACCACAAGTTTGTCTCTTCTCATCCTGACTTCACTCACCTTCTCATTACCAACCAAAACCTCATTCAATCAACTGTCAGTCAGTCAGTCAGTCAGAATCACAGCCAGCAGCCAGCCAAGTAGGCAGCCAGGCAGCCAGTCCAGTCAGTCAGCCAAGAAAGAAGTCAGAGCATCCATGCAACTTGCAAGCAGCAAGAAAGAGCCACGAAACCCAGTCTCAAGCAAATGCAGTCAAGCAGCCGGCCCCGCAGGGTGTCTTGCACACAAACTTGTGCCTCAAAGGCAGACGCAGGAGCCATGGCTGAGGAGCCCTCAAGGCTCGTGCGTGGTGCGTCCGCCATGGCAGCCGTCTGTCTTGGCTGCTAGGCGCCCACCCAAAATGCTGAGCCAAACAGCATTTTTTCACAAGAGTGAAGAAGCAGATTGTCAGCAATGCCAGCGCACTCAAACTGTGTAAGTGCAAAGATGCCACACCCACACACTCACAACTGACGCTGGCCTTCATGTTCCTGCAGCAAATGGTGGGCAGTCCCACCTAGGCCAAAGAGTGACAGCAGCACTGTCCAAAAACAGAAAGACATGCAGGAGTTCAGATACATCGCAGTCAGTCCAAAGTAGCTTGCAGTTAGAAACATGTTGAAACATACAGCAGTCAGTAAAGCAAAGAAACTGAGACCCCCAGGTTGCTGGCCCAATGCGTTGCTGGGCATCAGCCTCATTGCAGCATCCATTTTTGGGTGGTTTTTGTTTTGATGAACTTTGCAACTCCAATCTAATCAGGGGGCACTCTTCAGGGCTTGAGCAGCTCAACGTTTGGTTGTCATCTTCTTTGTAAATGTCAATTTCATTCCTTGAGCAAACAAAAGTAAGACTTCAACATAAGTCAAAACAGCCCAGCTTTTAATCACATGTCTGGCGGTTCTGTATGCTTGGCTAGAGTCAAGCTAGCTTCACGCAGCTCCTTCTTGAGGTCTTCCATCAGCTGCTTCTTGATGTGGAAGGTGTAAAACCGCGTATCACAGAAACCTGCAGCCATCAAGCAAATTGGCAGCAATGCTTGGCTAGGAAAACAAGACAGTCAACAGTCAAACAATCAACAGTCAGTCAAACAATCAACAGTCAGTCAAAACATCAAAGTCAAAGCAGTCAGTCAGTCAGTCGGTCAGGCAGCGCAACACGATCCAGAACATGACAACAATCTGAACAGCACTTGCACCTTGGCAATAGTCCCATGAAACTGGCCTCAACAGCTTCACCACCATGTCAAGCTGATGCCTCATTTTGATGTTGCTTGCATGCAGCCGATGTACTGTAAAGCGCCAGTTTCACTAGTTGCAGCCCAGGCGCTCAACATGAATTGGGATTGCAACCAACACCTCCATCCCTGAACAAAATACTTGGCTGCGTGGCCAGGCGTTGTGGTGTGAACCTGGATAACTTGTGTCCCAGTCTGATGTCATGGATTGGCGCTTTTGCCAAACAGCCCAAAGGGCCAATCCAAAAGGACACATAAGCAGAACCTGAAAAACGGACGTGTGATCCTCCCAAAACCAGCAAAAAACGTATATGAATAAACCATATGCAGCATAATAAACCCCTATGTCGTACAACTTTCTGATACATTCTGCGGTGGCTGCAAAACCGACTCCCTGATGTACCGAATCGCATCCGTTCCCGTGGAGCCCGAGGATACTTTCAGGTGTGTAGTAGTACGCACCACGCCCCGATACTTTCAGGTGTGGTGCGTAGTACACTACGCACATCTACGCATGCATGTTCCATCATCATGGTTACGTGGATGGCGGTCGTTTTTGTTGGATGACCATCTTCCTTCCAAACAGGTCAGGTCTTTGTTGTCCACTTCCGATGAGAGCTGGGAGTGTGGACTCCTGGGACCCGAGACTCACAATCCATCGGATTCGAGGTGAGTCCAACGTCCAGGGACATGACCCGAAGCAAAAAACAGGTAGCAGGACCATCCTGGACATGGGTAACAGGACTACCCTGCACTACTTGATCTCCAAACAGGACACCCATGTCCACAATGCTCCAGCTATACAGCTGTACCAACTGGAAGCCCCATTTTCCCCGGTACGAGTTCCGGGTCGACTCCAGGTTCTTCTTGGATGGTCCAACGGAGACTATGAGAAGAAACATGAGATGAGCACGAACATGAGATGGTCTTCCCTGGAGCGTGGATCTACAGATATATAGTACAGATCTCTCTCCCTCCCACAATGACACAACACATGAGGAAACATGAAGAAAGCCCCACCATGTTCGTTCGGCACCGGCACACACTTCCAACGCTCGCCGGTCTTGGAGAGTCCGAGGGTCTTGGAGTACTTGTTGAACTCGTCTTTCAGGATGTGCCGCACGATGGCCGGATCATTAATGAGGAGCAAGTAGGGCCCAGGAAACCAACTGAAGCCCAATTGTTTGGCGATTGGAACGCCCTCACCTGACAGCTGAGCGAGTTCTCCAAACAAAATCACTCCACGTACAGTATATCCAAGTATGCCTTGGGCGCATGCTATTCCCTGTAACAGTGGATGATGATGATGATGATGATGATGATGACGATGATTATGATGATGATGATGATGATGATGATGGTTGGTAAAGGCCTTTCTTGTGTTCACCACTTGTGTCTGAGTGCAATCCTTAAAGTATCTCAATTAAAGTACTCAATCCCGTCTCACAAGGGCCTGGAGTCTCAGTTCGTACATCAGAAAATGTGTACGAGAAGTATCTAATATTGAAAGGCACTTTGGAGGAGGTCCAGGTGGTTTAACTGTTTAACTAGCCTGCGCCGTCCAGGTGAACCGAAGTAGTGCACATCTACCGGAGATTCCCAAAACTCCTGTGTTCCGCGGGCAGACTAGGTGCTAGTGAGCCGAAATCGATAGAATAGGAGGCCCGGTCCAAAATACCAGTGAATGTCCAAACTGCAAGAGCCTTGCTTCTTCTTTCGTCCCGGGAACCATCCAAGAACCACGCTGGATGCTTCGCGCGGCTCCGCCGCAGGAGCCGCTTTCGCTCGCTTTCGAGGCGCAAATCTCCCGGCGCCAGTCGTGATGCCTGGGGCCGAGCGGTCGGCGTTCCGCAGGCCCTGTTTGGTGGAACGGTGTTGCGGGATCCCAAGTCTTTTGTGTTGGGATCTAGGTGGAGGCCGCTAAGTAGCTTGGAGGCCAGTATACTGGTAATGAACACGAAGCTACCAACCGGAACACCCAATCTGACTGAGTCCGGAAAACGGACCGGGCACATCCGGACAACGGACCGGTCGGGCTGTCACCGGTCATGACCGGTATTTGGGGTCGAGTGACCGGGTCTGTGGGAATCCATGGGAGACAGGGACGGAGGGTCGGAAGGAGGGTCAACGGATGAGCTCGCATGTTTTCGCTCAAATCACTACCAAGTTCATAAGGGTCCGGTCCATGACTGCGAGCTGGTACTCTAACTCAAAGCTTCTGCATGCGAGTCGTTTCAGCAATTCAGGAGATACTTACTTGGACCGTATGAGCACCGCAAATACCCGAAGTCTCAGATTGTAGCTCAGAAAATGGGTACAAGTACCTGTTGTTGTTCCCTTTTTTTTGAGGGGGGTCAGGTCCCATTTTGCAAGGTACTTTGGAGGGTCCAGGTATTTGATTCCCAAACATCAGACACGTCTAGTTGATGCCAAACAGCGCCAAACTTCTGCAACGAGGGAATCACCCAAAGCCAAGCCAGGTTGTCGAAAAAATGGCCAAGAGTAGCGAGTAATCTGAAAGAAAACTCAAAACAAACACCTAGACCTTCGCCAAGATGTAGCAAGATGTAGCCGGTTGAACCTGAAAACTCCAAAAAAGCAAAACATCTTAAACAAACATGTTAAAAAATGGTTTGCATTGTTAAACACAACCATAAACACAGATGTTAAACACATGTACAAACCAAAAAAGACGCATCAATCCGCCAAAGCCCGGCCAAGCTGTCATGTCCTGGCCAACCCAGGGAGTTATGCACCTAAGGACCTATGCTCAAGCGCATGACCCGCATGAAGAGGTCAGACCCGTTATGTGAAAATGCACAGCAACTACCGGTATTTGTTCCTGGCATTGTGACCTGGTGAAGAACACGCATGTCACATGAGTCCCACTTCCGGATACCTTAAGTAGGTACCTGGAGCTTCTCCAGTTTTGTACCAGGTCCTGCGACGATCAATGAACCAACTTTTCATGGGAGGGAAGCAAAGTCTCAGTTCGCATCTCAGAAAAATGAGTACAGCTGTACCTGATGATCATCTTCGAGCCACGTCCCATGTTCCCAGGTACGACCTGGAGGGTGTGGCGAAGCAGCATCTCTGGTCACTGGCCATGGGATTTTGGTCACAACACCGAACGAAGATGTGGAGATATCGCTTGTTCCAGAGCGATACCAACTGAACACGTCCAAGAGGGACCTGGAGTCGACCCGTTCGTAACTCAGTACCATGGAGTACCTGATTATACCAGCACCACCCACTTCGGGTGGTGATTTCTTAAGGCAAAAATCATCTATAGGGGGTATCAAACAAAACCACCTGAGCTCTGTGGTGCCTTTCTAGAGGGTCATGTCCCATGTTCTAGGTGCAGGTAGCTGGCAGGAGCAAGATCTAAAAGTGGATCACTTCAAGA